CCGCTCCCGGGAAGCGCCTTCTCGGAGCAGCGGTGCCGATGTGGCAGCCCGGGGAGCCCCTCGCAGCGGAGGAGGCGGAGGGAGCCGGGGTGGGGGGAAGAAGGAGGAGGAGGAGGAGGAGGCTGGGCTCCGGCGGCAGCAGCGCCCTGCCCCGCTGCGGGGCTCGGAGGAGGCGCCGTGGATCGCCCCGCCCCGGGAGCGCCGCGCCGGCCTGAGGGGGTTGCCCCAGCGGCCCGCCTCGCCCCCGCGGGGGGCTGCCGGTGTGCTGGGGGCGCCTCACGCCCTCAGGGCTTCCTCAGGGTGCGCCATACCTCGCTGAGGCGGCCCTGCCGCTCTCCTGCCCCTTCCTCAGGAGCTCTTCATTGACCGGCGGGGGGGGGAGCCGCCCTGCTGAAGAGCGAGTTGTTTCCTGTCAGAGGAGTGCCGGGGTTGAGGCGCTTGACTAGATGGTTGCTCTCGGGCTCCCTGGAACATCTCCCCGTTTGACAAACACCCCGGTTTTCTCCTCCCTTGGGGCCAGGCAGACCTCTTCCCCGCCGGCAGCCGGGGGTTTGAGCTGAGGGGTGACAAGCCCAGCTCCCCACCCCGGGGCAGCATGGTGGCTGGTGTGGCATCTCCACATCAGGCCAGCTCGACTCGTCCCCACGAGTTCTTGGCTCACAGGCCTGAAGGCTCAGGCACAGTTTTGGAGGGTTCCAGCCTGAGTTTTGAGCCATTGCTAGAAGGAAAGGAACGGGCTGAATACACAGCGAGGGCTCATTTTGGAGGGGTGTTTTCCTGAGGAGCCCCACGGAGGCTCAACGGCTTTGTAGGTCGCCGTTGCTCTGGTGTTACTAATCACAGGAGCCCTACGGTGTAGAAAAGGCTTGGTTTTCTTTATAATGTTTAAACGCACAGTGTGCCCCAGTGGCGTTCGGTTCCTCTGCTGGGAAATTTGCAGGCATATATAAATGAGAATATGTGTGGGAGTTGTAAAGGTTAAAGGGTGGTTGGGGAAAAAAAACCCTGATTCTCAAAATGAGGAACATATCTTGAAGAATGCACTGCAAGTGTGTTCACTTAGAACCAGGCCGCTAGAAACAATATAACCCAGGCAATCCAACAAAACAAAATGACATATGTCTTTGAGCACCACAGTGGAATAAAACAATCCTGGGAGACTGTCTGTATGCAGATGGACAGGACATGGACCTGTTGGAACGGGTCCAGCAGAGCACCATGGAGATGATCAGAGGGATGGAGCACCTCCCCTATGAAGACAGACTGAGAGAGCTGGGGTTGTTCAGCCTGAAGAAGAGAAGGCTTCAGGGAGACCTTATAACGGCCTTTCAATGTCTGAAGCTTGAGGAGAGCTGGGGAGGGACTCTTTTGTTAGGAAGTGCAGTGACAGGACAAGGGGTAATGGTTTTAAATTGGAAGAGGGGAGATTTGGATTAGATACCAGAAAGAAAGTCTTTCCTGTGAGGGTGGTGAGAGCCTGGCCCAGGTTGCCCAGAGAAGCTGTGGCTGCCCCATCCCTGGAGGGGTTCAAGGCCAGGCTGGATGGGGCTTGGAGCAACCTGGTCTGGTGGGAGGTGTCCCTGCCCAGGGCAGGGGGGTTGGAACTCGATGATCTTTAAGGTCCCTTCCAACTCTAACCATTCTATGATTCTGTGATTCTATAAATATCTCCAGCATAATCTGGTTTCTTGCTGTTACCTGTATCTGAATGTGAGCATTTGAATTTGTGTGTGCTCTTTACTTACGATGCAAACACAGGCAGGGTGTACATCCAGAATAATAATAACGGCAAGAAAGCCCCACACAGCTGCTTGCAGAGGGCGATGGCATACTTGCACATTCAGTAAGGCATTTCAGCAAGCTGGGGGTGGCTGGAAGTTCAGCAGAGAAACAAGAAGACGAAATACTAATTTCTGGTTTTTTATACTAAGAGCAGGCATGTCCTTGATGTGGATTCAGCCTGTGTATGCTTTTGGTCAGTACAGTTGCTTTCATAGAGTAAAAGAAAAGCCTGAGTGGAAGTGTCTGTCAGAGTTACACGCTTTATGCTGCCCCTACATTTCTGCATTTGAAGTGTGTAACCTTGTGCTCGGAGCTGGAATGAATCTCCTGCTGCTGCTCCTAAAAGCTACAGGGTTCTGTATTTATAACCACAGAGAACATATTTAAAAGGGACCGCAAAAGGGTACGAGGAACATAATGGTTTATCTAAGTGACAGTCCTGGCATTAGACTCCAAGCTATAAAAATATTTTATCCAGTTAGTTATTGGAGCTGCTTCCCCAGTCCCTAGGAATATAAAGGCTGGAACTCCTTGACCTCATCCACCGCCTGCCCCCCTAAAATAGCTAATCCTGGCATTGTACGGATCCTTGGAGCATTAGCTCGGGAAGGAAAGGCAACAGGCAGTCAGATATTGAGTGACACCGAGCGTGGTCACGGAGTGGGAGCTGAAGCATCTTTGGATAAACATCCAAGGCAGGCGGCAGGAATTCCTCAGGATGCCGCAGAGCTCTCCGGCGGGCAGGGCGGATGCAGCTACCGAGCTGAGAGGCAGCCTCAGCTGGCTCCTGGGAGGCTTCCCAGCAGGCTCCTGCCGTCTGAAAATGGGGGTGGAAAGAACAACCTCACACACCCTTGAAAATGTGCCAGCTGCTGGACGAAACGGGCTGCCTGTCAGACTTTACCGGTCAGTGAATCATCGGGTATCCCCACACTCTGCCTGATGCGGTTGCAATGGTCTGATGATATAATCAAGGCAAGATGGGTAAGGGAAAACAGTTACCTTTTCATGGACTGAGAAAACTAGACTACACTTAGAAAAACAGGCAAGCTCTTGAGCACACAGCTCCTGGACAAACACTTGGAGCTCCAGAAGATAGCGCGTTTGTTTGGTTTTTTCTCCCCAAGTTGGTTAGTTGATTTAGTGAATAATTTCCAAGAAAAGTTGTCTAACCTGTTCTTTAAAAAAAAAAAAACACCGCTGGCCTGGTTAGCTTCAGAAATTATTTGAAGTAATAGGAATAAAAATTACAGGTTTAGTACGTACAGGTATAAACAATTATGTTACATCAGCTAAACCCGTTCCTGTGCTCCCTCAGACTGAGCTACTTAGATTCTTCTTAAACTCATCTATCATTTGAGCTGACTTCTTACCTCTCTTTGTATTTTATTTAGGTATTTTTCAGGTAATCAATTTAAATCTGGGAGGCACAGGGTAACAACCAGAGAACTATTATGCTTCAAGAAAAGTGTTTCTACAGAAAGATGCTCTGGATCTTGAAGCACCGTACTGGATTTTGAAGAATTTTTCTCATTTTCCGGGCCTCTGTTGTAGGTGCAGGATAGTTCCTTGATCTGGCATGAGCAACTGAGAAATGCTGTTTTGCGTTTTGAAACTCTGTTTCTCCCATCTCATTTTTAATTTCGAGGAATATCAGCCGGCAAACACACCCGGCTGAGCGGGTGAGTCATCGTGTTGGAATGAAAGAGGGTGACTCATTTGGGACCATGCGACTGGTCCTCTCTGAACAGGGGTCCTGAAGCTGGAGAGGAGGATACATTAAGCCCCGAGTCACAGGAGTGAAAATAATTCTGAGTTGCGAGCTCCGGAAAGCTTGCCATAGTTATTTCTGAATCGCTCTTTGGGAGGGAGAAGCAGGACTTTTTTGAGAAGTACACTTCAGTGTAACTCTAAATGCCTGTGCTGTTTAATTCCATCGGCATTAATGTGAAGGTCCTTTGGTGGGAACTACAATGTTGACTAATTTGTGTCGGGAGTAACCATTCTTTGGCCACTAGAAGTGCCTCCACCTTACCTGCAGTCTTCCTTGACGTACGTTCCTTCACATCCAACATGGAGAAGGGTGCATACGCTTTGCTTGTGCAAGGGAATATACTTTTTGTTGTTTAGCAGAGGATGAGTTGCGAGGATTTGGGGGAAGATATTAGCAAGGAGCAAGCCATGACCAGAGGAATTGTTCTGGTAGACCAATTTTGGTCTGCAGGCCATAGGCTGGGCATGAAGAACGGGAGGTGCAAGAGCAGAAACAGCGCCATTAGCAACTTAGGATCATCCGGTGTTTTAATTTTCTGGACAGGTATCGATCAAGATGTAACAAAGCTTGTATTGCTTTCACCTTCATCTAGATCACAAAAGATCTTTAAATAAAAGATACAACATAAAAAATGAAATGCCCATAAAATTCAATAAATTAATCCATTAAAGAGTACTTCTTTTTAAGTCTTAGGGTGGGAATCCAGACTGTTATTTTGCAGCTTGACTGACTAGAAACGTTACTGCTTTATTTATAGTCCCAGCCTCCCAGATAAGTGCCATACAATCCTGTTAAAAACATTGAATGGTTTTATATACCATCATAAACTCATATAATTTGGAAAACTGATGTTTTTCCTTTCATACATATTGGTACATAAAAATATGGTTAATGAAATTATCTTATTAGGAACATTTCAAGCAGATTTTATTACAACTATATGTAGGACATGAACAGAAAGTAAACACAGTTAAGCAATGTGCTGAAATATTTACATTGAAGGGACGATTCTGAGACATCACTCTGGTTTTAGTTATCATATGAACAGTGACATATCTAAAACAAGTCCATTTCAGTAAAACTGAGGAGTTACCATGACTTGCCTGATATTCCTTAGAGTGTCCTAGCCCAGAAACAGCAAATGAGAAA